GGTGGATAAGTACAGTTTGAATTGGCGGTGCTAATTACTTTTTCTGCTGCTAACACCAGCCTGTTTGCCTGCCAGATGGCACATCTTCTGCTCTGCAGTTTGTTTTTCATCCTGTTTTTTTGGCTGGAGAGAAAGCTTGTGTTTTTATAGTGCCTTGTCACTGAATTACTGAGTGTTCCACATGTGCATGGAAATTTCCATCTGTCTGGAATGGAGTGTGCTTCCTCTCTCTCTCTTTCCCCCCACCCCACCACCCCCTGGGGAAGGATGGACCTTACATGTTTGGCCCAAGAGACGAAGCACTTCTACTGCTTAATCTAATAATAATAGTGATAATAATAATCAAGTGCTCTGGGACACTACCCAGCACAAGGGGTGCTATATAAATGCAAGTTGTTGTTGTAATAATACAGTACTTGCATTTGATATAGTACCTTATCACACTAGAAGGATGTCTCAAAGCGCTTTGCCAGATTTACTGTGAAATGTAGTGACTGTGTATCTGTAGGAAAATGCAGCAATGCACATATCAATATCCCAAAAACAGCCATGAAACGAGTGATCAATTGTGTTTGGGGGATAATTGGCCAGGCCACTTGCTTCTCTTTTTGAATAGTGCCACGGGATATTTAACATCCACCTAAACAGACACAGAAAGGGTGAAGGTTTAAGGTGTCATATCTGAAGGACAGATACATCCAGCCTCCCCTTTCCTGTCACTGTCCTGATTAACATCACGGTTCCATTTAAGTCCTCTCTCTGTTTTCTAATTACATTACACTTTATCCAGATTGAAGCCTGATGCTCAGCTAAGCAGAAGATCAAACTTCTCAATCAGATTGTGTGCATCCTCCTCACTGTTTCCTCTTCTTCCTATTGTTGATATCATCTGCGAACAAGGATGATTTCCAGTTGATTGGGATGTGCCTAGACTACCCTCCTGCACCTCAAGTGGATCCGTCCCAAGATTCTTGTTCAGACCTTCAAATCCCTTCACCATTTGAACCAGTTCATTAGCAATCTTCTCCAGCCCTATTTTCTCGCTAATGCCTCTGACTTTTTGGTCTATTGCATGACCCTCCTTCCCTCCCTCCCTTCCTTCCTCCCTCCATCTCCCTCTCGAGTCTTCAGCAATTGTCCCCATTTTCTGGAACTCTCTCCCCAAATCCTTTTGGATTGTGCCTTTCTCTCTTTGCCTTCAAACCCTCTTAAAAACATCACTTTGGTTAACAGCTCTCAAACCCCCCCCCTTTCTGACTTGCTCAAAATCCATCATTGTCTGTGTAATGCTTCAAGAGATTAATTGCACGTGAAAGATTTCAAGGAAGTTTCCTATTACCTACCATCCACCTAGCGGGGGCTCAAACCCGTCAGATGTCAAATGACCAACTAATAATCCAACTAATAATCCCTCCAAAAACAACAAAAAATAATAAATTGGTCATTTTCAATCTATGACTGTTTGTGGGACATTGCTGTGTGCAATTGGCTGCCGCGTTCACCCACAAATATACAGTCAATTCACTTTACAGTATATTCTGTGAAGCGCTTTGGGACGTCGAGAAGATGTGAAAAGCGCTATATCAAATGCAAGGATTATTATTATTATTATTATAATGACTGTCCTCCTGAGGGGGTGGGTGGGGAGCGGGGTGGGGGGTGTTGTCTTGGAGCTGAACTGGCTCCAGGGTGACCATGTTTGACAACAGAATGTCAGAATCGAGCCAGTCCTCTATGGCGGACTCGGGAATCCGGTCTGGTTTTACCCCACACAGAGCCAGCAACATGCCAGCAATGTGTTCTGAGTGCTTTTCCGCCCTCGTTTATTAGAGCAAGTGAGCGGAGCAATAAAATTTGACAATAACAACTCGTCTTGAAAAGAGGGATCGACAAAGGTTTTTGCAAAAGAACTTTCATGTCTCTTTCTCTCTCTCTCTCACCGGTTGTGGCGTTTTTCTGGCACTCTGGTCTTATTTCCAAATGCAAATTCATTTCAATCTTTTGTCGATGCATCTCACCTCCATGCTGCTCCCTGGCCTCTACTGCAATCACCATTATAGAGCTGCTGAAATGAAATAGAGAGCGGATAAATGAATGATGGCCGGACGGACGCTTTTTAACACACGTTTGGGATTAGATTGTGGATGTGAACAAAACCTTCAGCTCAGAGTCAATGGGTGAATGGCCTGTTTCCAAGCGGTAATATTCTTCGATTCCACGCACATGTGTTGGGGGGAATGGGAGAGAAAGAGGGCGTGAATTTAACATCATAAAGATTTCCAAGTAAAGTAAAGGGAGAATCATAGAATTATGCAGCAGAGAAGGAGGCCATTCGGCCCGTTGTGTTTGTGTCGGTTCTTTGAAAAGAGCTTCCAACTCAGTCCCACTCCCCCCTCTCACCCCATAGCCCTGCAAACTTGTCCTCCCCAAATAATTATCTATTACAGTCTGATTTTTTACCTATATAGGAGAGGGCTACTAGACATGGGATAGCTACCCTGCCAAAAATGATTCATTCATAATTCATAATCAGCTTGTATTAATATAGCGCCTTTTGCCACATCAGCAAAGTGTCCCAAAGTGCTTGCTGGGACTTACTGTTGTGTGGTGACCGGGTGTCTTGTAGACCAAAGTTTTGTGCACAGCATTGTGAACAACAACAATAACTTGCATTTATATAGCGCCCTTCACAAGGGGTTATGTCTTAGAGCGCTTGAAATGAATGACCAGTTTTATCTGAGGGATTAACAGCGAGGACACCTGGAGAGAAACGCTCTTCTCTTTTTGAACCATGCTATGGGATCTTTTACATCCACCGCAAGAGGCAGACGGCATCTCAGTTTAATGTCTCATCCGAAGGACGGCACCTGCAACACTGCAGCGCTCCCCCAGCATTGCACTGGAGCGTAGACTGCGAGCTCACAATCTCGACGTGGGGCTGTTTGTCTTGAATGCATATCTTTCTGACTCTGAAGCGCGAGTGCTGCCAGGCTGACATTCTTGAATCAATGACAGGAATTTGCATTAGAACATTAGACACATCAGGTTAACAGCAAAGCAGCTCTTAATATCCAGCCCTTCATGTTGCTAGAAGTCAAACCTATTTCACGCTGAGCTTTTGTGCCTGACCCCTGTAAGGCACATAGAATAGTTGGCATTTGGTAGGAGCATGCGACTGAATCACTGGTGTCTGGTACGTGACATTATTAGCGCTCAAAATACCCAGTTTCACCTTTTTTGTTTGTCCCCATGTTAAATTCATGATGAGTCCTTTACGCTTAAAGCATTTGGCAGCGACCAGACCAGTGTACGGTCTCTCCGTCAGCTTCCCCCTTTGTCAGGCTTTATTGTTCTTCGCCGGGCACCCTCTCACCTTTAGCGAGAGGCTTTGCTCCAGCACAGACACAAAGCTCATCTCTTCAGAAGGTCCAAGTGCCTTTGGAATTCTGTGAGCGTCCAAGTCTATTTCAGCAGCTGCTCATCTGCTGTGACACGATAAGACTCTCTCTCTCTCTCTCTCTCTCGCCATCCCATCCCATTCCACAGCAGCGACTGTAAACCTCGCTTCTGGCCACTGTTTGCCGTGCACCTATGACACACAGCGTCTGTTATGAGTGACGTAGAAGGGGCGAGAGGGAAAATAATGTACAATAATAACCCTTGCATTTGATATAGAGCCTTATCACGTCTTCGAGACGTCTCAAAGCGCTTCACAGGATATACCGTAAAGTGTATTTGACTGTATATTTGGTGGGCGACAAATGGCAGCCAATTGTGCACAGCAGCGTCCCCACAAACAGTCGTGCATTAAGTGACCAACTTATGATTTTTTTTTGGAAGGAATTATTACCCCCAGAAAAGTGATCCGCCAATCGACTAACAACTGGGTTCCTACTCACTGCGGGTAAACAGGCGTGTGGAGTAAGGAAACTTGCCTAAGGTTTTGCCCTGAACGGGAATCAAACCCGGGTCTCTCGCTTGTGAGGCGAGTGTCTAACCCCTGAGCTACAGGACTCCACAATGTTTCTTAAATAGGGCAACTGGTCCTCAGCAGCCAAAAGATTAGACCACCGCAGTCTAGACTGACGCTTCGGTGCGGTACTTAGTGAGCAGGAAATTGTCAGAGGTACTGTCCATCGGATGAGGTGTTAAACTGAGGAGTTTAACTGAGTGCTGTTCAGGTAGACATTAAAATAGCCCATGGAACCCTTCAAACAGAGAAGAGGGTTTCTCTCGGTGTCCTGGCCAACAATTTCCTGGATAAAATTAGTTGTTTGGTGATTCACAAAGATTTACCCAATGGCTGTGTTTATGGGATGTTGCCGCGTGCAAATCGGCTACTGGGTTTGGCTAAAAAAGAAGCACATAGTCACTACACTTGACAGTAAATCCCGTGAAACACTCTGAAACGACGTGACAAAGCACTGTGTCAAACGCCAGCATTATTATGATTAAAGTCGGACGAATCTTCCGAAGCGTTTTCTATCTAAATGCTAATGCGAGCTGCTGGTTTTATTTGATATCAGCTTTTGTGATTACATTCGTTAACGAAGTTGTGGGTCGGCCCGGTTTGTTTGAGGTTCCTGTCTTGCTTGTCGAGACCAGTAGAAATTGAAGAATCTGCACTGCATTCGCCAGACGCACGACCTGAAGATCGCGAGAGAGATGGGGTTTGATCACCTCTTTCTCCCCCTCCTCTCACGATGATTCTCCCCGCAGAGTGAGCCCGCACATTGTCCCCTTCCTTCCCCATCTTCAGGTCGCGCCTGAGGACCTTCCGTGCCTACGGTCACCCCCCGACGCCCCCTCCCCAGCTCAGAGTCATGCTCCACCACTGTCAAGCGCTCTGGGACTCTACCCTGCGTGTGTAAATGCAAGTTGTTGTGGTTGGAGTGACCCCCGAACAGGGAGTCCCCTATCCGACGGGCAGGGCAAGGCCTCGACGGTTGGTTTGCTGGGAGGCCGATGGTGTCTGACCAGACTTGTGTTTCTTCTTGCAGCTTATCCACCACAAAATGGGAAAGTTGCCATAGTGACTGGAGGTGCCAAAGGGATCGGTTATGAGACTGCCAAGCAGCTATCGAGGCTGGGAATGCGTGTGATAATAGGTAATTTTTTTTCACGTAGCAATATTTCATACTTAGTCATACTTAAAGCAGGAAGCTCATCCCCTCAGACGGGATACTGTGCGCAATCGGCTGCCGCGTTTTGCCCACAAAATAGCGTCAATTCACTTTAGAGTATATTCTCAATGATGTGATAAGGCGCTGTATCAAATGCGAAGATTATTATTGTTGTTATCTGTAAACTAACCTCCCGCGTTACGCGAACCACACAAAATGACTGCCTTTGTCCGCCAATGTAACTTCCTGCGTGTTGTGTTCCAATGCCCAGGAAGCGCTGGTGACATGATTTGCGTGCTAGTGCTGGGAACATGATCACTACTTGCAGCAAGTGATGACGGGTGATCTGACGAAGAAAGTGACCATATTTAGCATGAGGAAACCAGCTGGTCAGTGTGGGAAGCCATGTGAGCCATGAGCTTATGGTACTTATGCATTATAAGCGTAGCTCAGTGGTTAGAGCCCTCACCTGGCAAGCGAGAGACCTGGGTTCGATTCCCAGCAAGGCAAAACATTGGGGAAGTTTCCTTGCTCTACACACCTCTGTTCACCTAGCAGTGAGTAGGAACCCGGTTGTTAGTCGATTGGCAGATCGCTTTCCTGGGTAATAATCCCTTAAAAAAATAATAAATTGGTCAATCAATCAACGACTGTTTGTGGGCCGCTGCTGTGCGCAATTGGCTGCCACATTTCGCCCACAAAAATATAGTCAATTCACTTTACAGTATATTCTGGGAAGCGCTTTGAGAGGTCTCGATGACATGATGAGGAGCTATATAAAAAGAGGATTATTATTATATCAAATACAAGGATTATTCCTGAGGTCGGAATTTTTAAGTATCGGCAATTGTTAGATATTTTATTCCAGGTGTGATGTAAATGCTTAGCAATTTTTCTCCATTGTATTTTGGGATGATATATTGTGTTGTTATGATAACTTTTGCTTTGTTTAACACGTATGGAAACGCATGACCAAGCATAATTATAATAACTTGCATTTACATAGCTCCTTTCCCGTCAACTAAGCACCTCGAGGCACTTTACAAACTAGAATTGAATAGAAATGAAAATGTTGTGATAAAGGCAAACGCGACAACCAATCTGCGACCTCAACAATGAGACGAGCAGCAACAACAACAAGATGACCTTTATAGAGCACCTTTCACGTCGGGAGGACATCCCAAAGCGCTGAACAGTCAGGTGTCGGGGCCCGAGCCTGGGGGAGGGGTGGTGTAGGGGTGAGGGAAGGCAGAGAGGTGGGAGGGAGACCAAAGGCAAGTCCATTGATCTGAACTCAAGGTGAGTGAGTGACCAAATTGAATATAATAATAATAATAATTATTATCCTTGCACTTGATCCACATGCTTTCAAGTCAGGAGAATCTTTCAAAGCGCTTCACAAAGTGCAGTAACTGTGTTTGAGGGCTCTGGGAAGTTACCCTACGTGAGGAGTGCTATATAAGTGCAACTTGTTGTTGTTTGTGTATTTTGTGGGCGAATGCAGCAGCTAATTTGCACGCAGCAATATCCCACAAACAGCCCTGAAGTGAATGACCACAAGTGGACTAGACAAGCGTCTTTGCACAGAGGATGGTGAGAATGTGGGACTCACTGCCAGAAGCTGTGGTTGAAGGAAAAAACAACAATATACGTAAGAGGAAATTAAATACAAACAGGAGGAAGATAATAATAATAATCACATCTTCGAGACGTCTCAAAGCGCTTCACAGAATATACTGTAAAGTGAATTGACTACATCTTGTGGGTGAAACATAGCAGCCAATTGGGCACAGCAGCGTCTCACAACCAGTCGTGGATTGAACGACCCAATTATTATTATTATTTATTGATTTATTTTGAAGGAATTATATGTGAAGTCCTGTAGCTCAGTGGTTAGAGCACACACCTCACAAGCAAGAGACCTGGGTTCGATTCCCAACAGGGCGAAATGTTGGGCGAGTTTCCTTACTCCACACACCTCTGTTTACCTATCAGTAAGTAGGAACCCAGTTGTTAGTCGATTGGCGGATTGCTTTTCCAGGCATAATAAACCCTTAAAAAAAAATTGGGTGGGACACTGCTGTGCGCAATTAGCTGCTGCGATTCTCCCACAAATATACAGTCAATTCAGTTTACGGTCTATTCTGTGAAGCGCTTTGAGAGGTTGAGAAGACGTGAAAAGCGCTATATCAAATGCAAGGATTATTATTGTTGTTATTAACCCCGGAAAAGCAATCCACAATCGACTGCTAGACGAACAGAGACATGTGGAGTAAGGAAACTCGCCAACATTTCGCCCTGCCCAGATCCTTGCTTCAGAGGCGAATGCTCTAACCACTGAGCTACAGGACTCCACAAAATGGGAATATAGGGCACATAAGAGAGGAGATTAGGAGGGATAGAGGCTCGTGTGGAGTATAAACGCTGGCACAGACTGGTTGGACCGAATGGAAGGCTGCAACGTTGAATGTATTTCAGAGGTACTCAGGAGCAAGGATAATAATAATAATAATAATAATAATAATAATGTGTATAAAGGACAAATCAACAAGGTTTGAACATAGCCCAGTAAGTTGGCAAAAATTCTCCTTGGGCGGGTGGTTCAAACAGGGCCCTTTGTGCAATAGATTTGAACAGTAACAGCTTGCATTTATATATAGCAGCTTTCACATAGGATGGAAGTCTCAAAGCTACTTTGGATGAAGTCTTTGCTCAATGTCTCCTGGGTGTAAACCCAGCAGAACAAAGCTACCCCTTATCTTGACGTGAAATTGGCAGACAGACTGGCTAAGATTAAAGTGACCAGGGGGATTGTCGGTGCTGGAATTGGAAATCAGTCCCTCTCTCAAGTTTATTTACTCCTTTTATTTGTTCTAAAGTCAAAGCACCAAACTGTCAAGTGACTGTGACTGTGAGTTCTATATTCTCAGCACCTCCTACATGAACAAGTTTCTCTTCAACTCCCTGGAGTTCAGTGGTTAGAGCCCTCGCCTCGTAAGTGAGAGGACCAGGGTTCGATTCCCGGCAGGGTGAAATGTTGGGCAAGTTTCCTTATTCCACACGCCTCTGGTAACCTAGCAGTAAGTAGGAACCTGTTTGTTAGTCAATTGGTGGATAGTTTTATGATGGTAATAATCAATCGCTTAAAAAAATAATAATTTGGTCACTCAATCCACAATTGTTTGTTTGACGCTGCTGTGGGCAATTAGTTACCGTCTTTCACCCACAAAATATACAGTCAATTCACTTTACGGTATATGCTATGAAGCGCTTTGAGACGTCTCGAAGAGTTGATAAGGCGCAATATCAAATTCAAGGATTATTATTATATTAGATCTATCACCACCTTTGTTACATTTATGCCCTCACGTTTGGACTCGCCAACAAGTGAAAATATCCAATCAATTGTCCATCTTATTGAACCCTTTCATAATCTTAAACAGCTGGACTGGCTCAAATGGTAGCAGTTTCGCCTCTGGGTCAGAAGGTTGTGGGTACAAGCCCCATGTCGAGTCTTGGAAACCCACTTAGTCTATGCTTAGTCTTGTGTTTGATACAGTGCCCTTATCATGTTGTCAAAACATCTCAGTGCTTCCCAGGATTTACGGTAAGGTGCATTGACTGTGTATTTTTGGTAGATAAATGCTACAGCAAATGTCCCACAAACAGACCTGCAGCGAACAACCGATTTTGTGGAGACCTATAGCATAGAACATTCGCCTCGCAAGCGAGAGGACCTGGGTTTAATTCCCCAGCAGAGCGAAACTTTAAGTTTCCTTACTCCTCTTCACTTAGCAATAAGTAGGAACCCGGTTGTTAGTAGATTGGCCGATCACTTTTCCGGGGGGAATAATCCCTTCAAAAAAAAAATAATTTGTTCACTCAATCCACGACTGTTTGTGGGACACTGCTGTGCGCAATTGACTGCTGCGTTTCGCCCTCAAAATATACAGTCAATTCACTTTACAGTATATTCTGTGAAGCGCTTTGAGACGTCTCGAAGACGTGATGAAGTGCTATATCAAATTCAAGGATTATTATTATTATTTTTATTATTATTTTATCCAGGGAATTGTTGGCCAGGTCAACTCCCTGATCATCGGGGAAATAAATAAACACACATGACCACCCACACAAAAAAAACTTTACAAAAGAGCTGGGTATGTGATATGGAACCGAACACTAAAGATTGTGGTTCCAATGGCAACTGTGTAGGTGAAGGAATTGAGAGCTTGATGTCAGCTGGAGGCCCCATTAATGGGTTATTTCACTGCCGTGGGATGCGATAAGGGAACCTCAAGGCTTTGATCTGTCTTTTCAAACAGATTCTAAAGGAAAAGTACTAAGAATGTGGAGATTTCATTTCTTCCCCCATCTCCCACGCACTCCAGAAAAAGAGAATAAAAAGTCACAGAGGTGACATTTGTTAAATACGGTACAAAGGAGAATTAAATCTCAATGAAAGAGATCATAAGGCATCGTTTTATGTTTTATATTCAAATGTTCATTCATTTTCCTGCTGTCTGGCTCAGACCTCGCTCCTTATTGGCGTCAGTCTGGTTCAGTTTGCAATCTTATCTATCAGCTGGAAGGTTTTGGGTTGAAGATCCACTTTGGGGACGTTGAGCTCAAAGTCTAGGCTGTTACTGCAATGCATTGCTTAAGGTCCTCTGCATCGTTGGAAGTGCCATCTGTACCTGTTCAGCTGTATGTTAATATCCCAGGCGCTATTTGAAACGCCAATGAGTTTCTCTCTCCCGGTTTCCTGGCCAACAAACCCCCAAATAAAATTGGTCACTCACTTCAAGGCTGTTTGTGGGACACTGCTGAGTGAATGGTGGTTGCCACATTCACCCACAAATACACAGTAAAAACAGTAAAAATCCAGTGAGCGTTTTGAGATTCTTCCCACTCAACCCCTGCAAGCCCAAACCCTAGGGTGGTCCTAGCTGGACAAGCAGAGGGAAAGCTTGCCAGACAGTGCTCTCAATTGCAAGCTATCCACATAACACATACTCTGCAGTCCCCAAGTCTTGGCTCTTGCCATCCTGGATCCAAAACTCTCCCGAATTAGGCAAGCAGAGTGCGTTCCTCTGGGAGAAAGTAAATATTCAATTCCAGGCGTGTGTAGTTCATATACTTTGAAATGTCAGGCTGGTCGGATACTCTTTAAGCATGCTGATGGATCTTTACATGTGTCAGACACTCGGCTGACCAAATCATTGTTTCCAAAGCTTGCACATATTATTTGATCAAATGTGATTTTATTTGGATTTATTTGGATTTAACTCGGATGCTCCAGGGGGCTTATAGTTATGAGCAGACTCTTGAAAAATTGGTGTTGTTTTCGCTGCAACAGAGAATGTTCAGTGGGGATGTTAGAGAGTTGTTGAAAATTCTGAACAGTTTCGAGAGGATAAATCGTGAAAGATTATTCGCAGTGGTTGGTGAATCAGTAACAAGGGGACTTGAGCTCAGGATTATCACAAGGAGAATTAAGGGTTGGGAGAAATGTATTTATGCAGAGGCTTTTTAGGACATGGAATAAATTGCTGAATGTGGCGAGAGAAGTTAAAATCACGATCACATTGGGGAACAGGAGCTTGGACTTGGGATCTTGGACTTGGGATCACTCAGGACTTGGGATCACACAGTCTAAGCTGACTCTCCAATGCAGTGCTGGGGGGTGGGGTGTTGCATGGTCGGAGGTGCTGCCCTCTGGCGTTAAATCGCGGGTGGACGTTAAAGATCCTGGTTGCTATTCAAAACAAGAAGGGAGTTTGTCCCTCTCTCCCAGTGTCCTGGCCAACAATCCCCCAAATAAAATGGGTCCCTCTGTCCATGGCTGTTTGTTGGACACTGCTGTGTGCAAACTGGCTGCCACATTCCACCCACAAAATACACAGTCAATCAATCCACTTTACTATATATTCTGTGAAGCGCCTTGAGGAGTGTCAGCGGCGTGATATGGCGCTGTGTCAATTGCAAGGATTGTTATTGATAGTGGTATTAGTATTAAAATTAAAAAGCATTTTCTCTTGTTGCAGCTGTCAACGACGAAAGGAGCGGCCAGGAATCCGTGAAGAGGATCGTGCAGGAGACTGGGAATCAGAAAGGTACAGGCTGCTTCAGGTCCCCCCGCATTTCCCACCCCACCATTGACGGCTGGGCATTCAGCATCCCTGCCCCCGCACTCTGGAACTCTATCCCACAATCCCTCCGCCTCACTTACTTCCTTCAAGTTCCATCTAAAGACCTTCCTCTTCGATCGAGCATTCGGCCACGATCCCACCGCCCCCCTGCCCTCCACCCCTCCTGACCCCAACTCCCAGCTCGGGTCCAAAAGCCCCTGACTGTCCAGCGCCCTGGGACATCTTTCCAACGTGAAGGGCTGCTAACAAGTGTAATTTGTTCTTGTTGTTGTCTTGTGATAAAAACCTGGGGATTGTCTGTAACACTTTCTAATGTATTGCTTTGCCAGTCGATGGAGTGAAGTAATGTTTGCTAACGTTCCTGTTCATTACTGTATTGCTATGATCTGAAGTGGCCCTGTCTTTGCTGCTCAGTTGGATAGGGCTGGTGTTAAACAGCAGTCGCTTCTTCTCATGCGCCAGTAAATCTATTGCTAATGGACTCATCCATTTAGGAGACATTTTTTCTTCAAAGTAAGCTTACTGAGCAGGAGTGAGCTGCTTTCTGGCATTCGTAATAATAATCCTTGCATTTGATAGAGTGTCTTTCACATCCAGAGGACACCACAACATGCTTCACAGGATTTTACTGCAAAATCTAGTAACCATGCGTTCTTGCAAGCAAATGCATCAGGCAATCGGAGTCTAGCAAAGTCCCACAAACAGACATGAAGTGAAGGAACGTTTTTACCTCAGAGATTGTCGGCCAGGACACTGGGAGAGAGAAACCCCCTTCTCATTTCAAACAGCACCACAAGATCTTTAATGTCCTCTTGAACAGGCAACAAACAGCACTTCAGTTTAATACCTCACCCATAGGAAGGCATCTCCGACAACAACAATAATAATATTCCTGGTATTTGATACAAGGCCTTATCACGTCTTCGAGACGTCTCAAAGCGCTTCACAGGATATACCGTAAAGTGAATTGACTATATTTTGTGGACGAAACACGGCAGCCAATTGCGCACAGCAGCGTCCCACAAACAGCCGTGGATTGAGTGGCCAAGTTATTATTATTAGTTTTTAAAGCAGGGAATAAAGCAGGGAAGAGCTTTCCTTCAGAGAAAGCCCTTTCTCTCTCCCCCCACCCCTTTGAAGCAACGAATGCGTTACAGATCACTGTCAACTCAATTACAGCGCCTGGTCTGCGGTTCAGCAGAACCGTCTGAAGGATTTGCTGCTTTGAAGAGCATCATCTCTTTGGTCTCCGGCCGCCTTCTTGCCATTCATCTCATCTGCAGGGGCTGACGAGATGTCATGGATTTGCATACAGAATGTGAGACTGCACTGAGCCAAATTGTCATCTACATGATCTGCTGTCAGCCACTGTGCACGTCAGTGAATGATTCCTTTATTTTTTTCAAATTAGCCATTTTATTTTATTTTCTCCTGCCCCCCCTCCACCCCCCCGGCCTCCAAGAAACCCTCCGAATATATTTCCGCTGAGGCATTAAAATAGGACCTTTGCTCATCCGACTGGTTGCCCGATTCTAAATAGTTTAAAGCGAATCATTGCTGTGTTTACCGCTGTCTCTTCTTGTTTGTTTGTGTGCTTTCAGACGTTATGCTGCTCAAGAGGACATAGGCTTTAGGGTAGGCGAAGGGCGATATCAGGACAGACATGGACCAGGAATTATTGCTTTACCCAGTGGGTAATTAACGACTGGAATAAGTTGTCAGGAAGCCAGGACACTGGGACTCATTTAGAAATCAGCTTGATGCTGTGATGGGAAGACTTTGGAGCAATGAGATCAAATATCTTGTTTATCTGGAATGATCTTTTTATGATCTATCCTCTGAACTGCCTTCCTAAATCCCTGCTCCTCCACATCTCTCTCTCTCTCTCTCTCTCTCTGGCTTTAAAAGCCTCCCGATAACCTGCCATTTTGACTGTGCCTACCTCCCCCCTCTCCTACCCTCTCTGCTCAGTGACTTGCGGTGTCCCCGTGATTGAGAATGTTAGGCGATGTGAAAGGCGCTATTTTAACGTATATCATTGCTTCATGGTCAAAACTGATGGTGAAAAAGCAGCCTTTGTTTTAATGGGTCTGTAATACGATGTGTATAAAATGTATACAAATGTTAGTTAGTTCATTATGCACTTTGTGTTTGAGCTCACAGTCTTGTTTGATGCTCCAGTGCAGTGCTGGGTGTGTGTGCGGTTGGGGTGCGGAGAGGGATAGGGTATTGTTGGAGGTGCCGTCCTTCGGATGAGACATTGAACCAAGGTTCCCTCTGCCTTGTCAAAGATCCTGTGACTCTATTCAAGATAAGGAAGGGAATTTCTTTGCCAGAGAGCCGGTCCAACAATCCTCCAAATAAAATGGGTTGAGACCTCCCGGCTGTTTGTGTGACATTACTGTGCACAAATTGGTCGTTACATATAACAGTAATCACTGTGCAGCGCTTTGAGATGTTTCGGTGGTTATGCATGCTGTGTCAAGTGTGAGGATTCACAATTAAAATAAAAAAATTGGTCACTTAATCCACGACTGTTTGTGGGACGCTGCTGTGCGCAATTGGCTGCCGCATTTCTCCCACAAAACACACAGTCAATTCACTTTACAGTATATGCTGTGAAGCGCTTTGAGATGTCTCGAAGATGTGATAAATCGCTATGTCAAATGCCAGGATTATTATTATTATAAATGCATGTGAGGATCATGCAAATTTCTTTTAGAAAATAATATTTGGGGATACAGTGTATGAGTAATTTGAGACGTGACACATAGTAAGGGTAATATGACTTGGAAGAACTAGGCAACTTTGGATCTAAAGTTCCCAAAGCTTTCACTGTGTTGTAGACTAATCCATACAGAATCAACTGCTATCAACATAGAATCATAGAATCTTACAGCAAAGAAGGAGGCCATTAGGCCCATCTATGTAAGAGCCACCAAATAGTCCCACTCTCCCGCTCTTACCCCGTAGCCCTGCACATTTTTCCTTTTCAACATCTCCATTATTCTAACACATGACCACCAGGAGAGTAGAAGACAGACTAGATGGATCTTGGTCAATTCCTGTGTTTCTATATACCGATTTGAGAAGATTGAGTGAGAACAGAAAGGTTATAAACCTATAATAATAATCTGTGCATTTGATATAGCGCCTAACCAGGTCTTCGAGACGTCTCAAAGCGCTTCACAGAATACACTGTAAAGAGAATTGACTGTATATTTTGTGGGTGAAAGGCGGCAGCCGATTGCGCACAGAAGTCTCACACAAACAGTCGTGGATTGAGTGACCATATTATTATTGTTTTATTTCTTGAAGGATTATTATCAGGCGTGTGGAGTAAGGAAACTTGCCCAAAGTTTTGCCCTGACCGGCCGGGAATCAAACCCAGGTCTCTCGCTTGCGAGGCGAGTGCTGTAACAACTGAGCTACAGGACTCCACAGGGTACAGGGTTATGCGAATGAGGGGACTTCAGTGAAGCCAACATAAAGTGGGAATGCTCTGGTGGGAAGCAGCCCGTGCGTGTCAGTGCACAGTGCTTGGTTGCTTCCTGAAGCCGTGAGTCACGGAGCCCACAAGGGACAGCTCCCTCCTGACCTTGGTTTCCATGAGTCACTCGGATGTTATCTACGGAGCAGATTTTCTGGGCTGACACAGTGGCATTCAATCTGATCGAGGAACCAAGGCAAGCGCGCAGACGTGCCCCAGTAACAGATATACGGGGCCCAGCCTCAGTCTGTATCAGTGCTGAGCTCAGCAATAATAATAATAATCCTTGCATTTGATACAGCGCCTTATCACATCAACCCACTTCACAGTATATTTTGTGGGTGAAACCGGGCAGCCGATTTCATACAGCAGAGTCCCACAAACAATTGTGGATTGAGTAACCAGATTACTATTATTACTGTTTTTTTAAGAGGTTATTACCCCAATTCAGTTACTAACAACAGAGGGTGTGTGGAGTAAAGTAACTTGCCTAAGGTTTTGTCCTGCCCAGGTTTTGAGAACCCAGGTCTCTCGCTTGCGAGACGAGTGCTCTAACAACTACGCTAAGGGACTCCACAAATAGTGAGAAAATAGTAGGGAGTTTATCCAAGTGTCTGAGCCAATAATCCCGTGCGATCCAAGAATTGATCCTTTACTTCATAGCTGCTTGTGAGGCATTCGCTGTGTGCAATTTGTCTTTTACGTTGGCCTGCAGATACACAGTCACTGCACTTTACTGATACCTTTGAGATGTTCTGACGACGAGATAAAGCACTGTATCAAAAGCAATAATTCTCCTTTTTTATTATAATTATTATTAATGATAATAATCCTTACATTTGATATAACATTGTCTACATATCTCAAAGCACTTCACAGGATTTAACTATGAAACGTAGCAACTGTGATGTGTGAGCAGCCAATTTGCACACAACAACATCCCACAAACAGTCTTGGAGTGAGTGATCAGTTTTTATCTGGGGGATTGTTGTCCAGGACCCTGGAAGAAACTCCCTTCTCTTTTTGAGTAGTGCCATGGGATGATTAACATCTATCTGAATAGATGTGACCTCTGACAATCCAAGGCTTCCCCCAGCACTGCACTGGTGCATCAGCTTAGACGAGTGCAGAAGGTGCAAATGAAACAAAAAATGCTCTGAAATGGATCAACAGGTACATGAAAAGGAGATTCAAACAACAAAATGGAGATTTGCAAAACATTCAGGGAGACACTTAACCACTGAACCGAGAATTAGTAATAATCCTTGCCTTCAATATCACGCTGTTGAGACATCTCAAATCGCTTCACAAAATATATTTTAGACTATTTTAAAAAGGAAAAATTCTGATCTTAAAGGGAAAATCTTTACAGGGTTATGGAGTAAGAGCGGGGGACTGGGACTAGTTGGTAGCTCTTTCAGAGAGCCGGTACAGGCACGATGGGCCGAATGGCCTCCTCTGTCCTTTAAAATTC